GTATTGGAACGGAACCGAACTTGGCAAGAACCAACGGACCATACACCATAAACTATGAAACGCAGTGGGATCACTGGAGGACAACAGACTTCATCCAGCATACTGGTGTCCTTATCTAATGAAGGTGAACGAGGAATAAGAATAATCCCAGCTACCACGATGTTTTAAGCATTTAACGACAAAACGGGATCTTCAAAAATATACGTTATTAATAAATGAATCATGAATTAATTAAGAGTTCATTTCTATATCGTTTTTCGTGTGGATAGAAAACATTTTATCATACATTTATAACATCATTTGTTTCTGTTTGGAGCACTCCTTTAAATAATTTCGATCTTCGAAAAGCCTTCGACTCTGTTCTGTTTCAATCTCTTCTCAATTATTTTTATTTAAACCCTGCCTTATTTGACATTGTATCTAGTTACCTTAGCCATCAACGTCTGGTGATAAATGGATGTCATTCTGAATGGGTTCCTATTCTTTCTGGAGTTCCACAGGGCTCCATCTTAGGACCGCTTCTTTTTCTTTCTTATATTGATTCTATTAACAAAACTCAATTTTCCACTTCCAAACTAATTCTATTTGCTGATGACATGGTTCTCTATACCCCACTAAAACCTACAACTAAAGAACCCTTTCAGAATGACATAAACAAAGTTATCTCTTGGGTTTCTGGAAATAACTTAAAACTCAATTCGAAAAAAACAAAGTTTATATTAATTTCTCGTAAGTTCAAACGCCCAAACTACTCATTTAAACATAACGATTGTTTAATGACGAGGTTGAGACTTTTAAGTATCTCTGAGTTACCTTATCCAAATCTTAGTTGGAAATCTCATATTGACATTATTTACAAAAAATCTAAAAAACTTGTTGGCTATTTGTATATACAGTATAAATAAATAAATATATATATATATAATAATAATAATAATAATTATTATTATTATTACTTACGCAATTATCATTTTATTTTATTTTTACTATAATATATAACCTTACCAAGGAGGTACAAAAAATTGCAAGTTGCACTGGCTGGAATAACTACCATGTTATGTAGTAGCACTGGCTAGTTGTAAGCAGAAGCCTCTTCTAAAACCCTTCAGAAAACCATGCTTCTAAGATTTAGAACTCTGTTCCTCTGGAGAAGACGAAAGTTACTGAACAGTAGTGCCAATGAATTTATTAATTATTAATTTTATAATAAATATTTCATAATAATTAACAATGATTATTAATTATAATTCGTAATTAAAGTAACAAATAATAATTCATAATACTCCCTGCTTAATGAGCAAATTAAGAATTGCCACCCTCATTAAGCTGTTTATTTCAAAGACAAAATATTTACTAAGATTAAGTCATATCTTCCTAGATAAGCTATTTCCACTCACATCATCTTGCTAGGATGAGCTGTTATTACCAATCAAAGAGGTTTGATTATTGTATGCCATCAGCAAGTAAGCCTATGGAATATTAAACGTGTTGTACAGAGTTCGTTTAATGTAAATATCATCATCGGTTCAAATCTGTTGTTTCCCTACACACAATGGTTATTTTAGAGATTTCCAGGTACAGCACCTGTATTCACAATAATACACAGTAAGGCCTATATGCATTCCCCTATCAAAAGTCATATTTAAGTACAGTACTTTGCCGATAATTTGTCTTTTTCATGTCGATGCTGTGATCCTCTACGCCGCGCTGAAGTAAGCCATAAAAACGCGCGTAGTCGCAGATTAGAGAATGACTAATATTACAACAGTCATTATTCCTTCCAAAACACAGACAGAACATGGACAAACGAGCAGAGTCTTGCTCGTTCGCACTCTGGAGCTTGTCTCTTTTTCGTACAATCTGAGATAACTACAGTATATAATAATAATTGTATTCGGAAAACTACACTTTTGAAACAGTGGCACACTTCATTCGCACTCTGGAGCTTGTCTCTTTTTCGTACAATCTGAGACTACTATATAATAATAATTGTATTTAGAAACTACACTTTTGAAACAGTGGCACACTTCACATGATAAAGGTGCGTCCAAAATAATACACCAAACAGAATTCAATACACTTAAGGAAAACAAAATATAAAATATAAATTGAGTAACCGTCACTCAAGCAACTGACAAGCACCATATCCCCCCATCCAACACCCACCCTCATCAATGAATTATAAGCAATGCTTCAATATTCATGCCAGTCCCCTGAGTGACCCTTACTCGATTAAAGGAAAAAAATATAAAGCTGATGTTTTCATAAGACTATAAAAAGTAAAATGAATTAAACTTGAAGACAAATACATAAAAATAAAACAACGAAGATGTAATACCAAACATCCCTAAGTGCATACATTTCCCTCATCAAAATCAGAAACTCATCTATCACCCAGTGACCCCTCCCATCCCATAAATCTAAAAGTGAAAATACTTCAAATGTCTCCCTCCCGATGGCTATTTAAAGATTTCATTCCTTTCTTAATACTCTTATATCATTTAGCAATGTAGACACTAACAATCAATTAAAAAGATAAAAATTTAAAATAACCTTTTGCAAAATCTATTAAAGTCGAACATCCCAAAATATATTTAAATTTAGTATTTTCATTTGCCTTATGGACAGTACATAGTTGCCAGTTTGTACTAAATCTTTGTGTTAGGCATATATTTCATCAATGCGAATGTTATTTATGGCCGGACAACCAAAAATAATGGTGAATATCCTCATCAGAATTAAGATTGCATAATTAACATTTCTTGTTATTACCCCGATTCAATTTTGAAGTTCTGTTGTTTATTGGTAAGGTATTAGATTTGAGTTTGAATTTTAATGCAATTCCTTCAAAATCAATTTTGTCCATTAGGCAATTTTCGAGTTCAAGTTTTAATTTCAATGTCGCATATTCTTGGAGAGATGATTTGTTTTGAAGATCTGCTCTCCATGCATCTATTCTAATTAAATCAAGTTTTCTCAGGATTTCGGATAATAAAACTCTATATTGTTCAACAAAGCTGTGAAGATATCGTTTGATTTACATTCACATTTCATATGAATATAATTTTAGGCAAGACAGAAATTTATACCGTAAGTCCTTTAACTCACAATTAAGTTGTAACATTCGTAGTAGTAAAAGTTTAGGCCATCGATATGATTCCATAGTAATCAATCTATTAAAACATTTTACACGAGCAATTTGATGAAGATCATTAATGGGGAAACCATCCAAGTTCACCATATAGTACTGCACAAGGTGTGTTCCCAGATGCTTTAGGTATGAAACGTCGATTGATTGATTGATTGACTGAATTTATTCAGTAAACGCAATACACACGCTCAATAAAACCATAAAAAATTGCTAGGATGCAGTACATAAAACCGCACAAGGCACTTATTTCAAAAGTGGTCCTTAAAAGATTGACATCTTTCAATGAAAAAGGAATTAAAAAAAAAAATTTTAAAAAAACTACGGTTAATATATATATATTTAAAGAGATATTCAATTTAAAGAGATAACATGTATATTTAAAGAGATACCGTATTCAAACTACCTATAACAGGAGTGGCGCCAAGATTTCCCGGCGTGTGCGGTGGGGGGGGGTCCACGACAGGGAGGGGGTGACCCCCCCGACGAGGGGTCTGTAGTAGTGTTGCAAACTGTGACTAACTGTATGTACATTCCTGAGGTTGTGTATTTTCCTACTAGTGTACTCCTCCAGGAAGTTGCCACCACTACTGTAAAGTATGTGAAAGGCTCTTTCACATGTTACCGATGTCACACAGCCTAAAATAGGCTCATACGGACATTGTAGTCTGTCTGAACAAGTACAACATCCGGACGATAAATAAACTGAACTGACACTGTTTTACAAAAGGGTAAAATAAAATGAATACAAAGTAGGAATGAATGAATGGAATGGATGGAAAGGAAGGGAAGGGATGGGATGGATGGATGGATGGATGGATGAATAATTGACTGTATAAATAAATAAACAAAAAAAAAAAAAATTCCAAGAGAAAATCATATGGGTGGTTGAGGGTCTCAGAATTTAAGAAAGACACCACCACGACCCATCAGCTGTTAAAGAAAAGGGGACAGTCCTGCCCTGAATCTAAAAAAAAAAAAACATAAAAAAAAAAAACAACCGGAAACTAACACAAAAATGGTGGAAACAAGCTGGGAGTCACGGATACAGAAAACAGCTGACTGTCTGCTGGGGATCACATTAAGCCTCCCATCTCCCGAGACAGTCCCCACCCACCAATACGAGACATAGCAGGATTTCCAAATGCGACTTATCTTCTAAAATGTATATTAAAAAAATGTATGGAACTATGAACAAAAGATTGTCCACAGCGTTTAGTCTCTTGATTTAAAGTGATTAGTCTACCAGTGTGGCTTTGCTTATAGTACTTATTTAATAGATTATCGGGATTCTGACGATTTTTTAACAGTGCTAAAAATGTAAATTTCATGTAGATTATCCAGAGTTTCATGTTTTCCCCCAATAATTTTACTAGCCCACTTTAATATTTTAACTAGTTTATTATTTTCTTTTTGTGTAAGATTTGAGAACCAGACAATGGAACCATAGAGCAGAACACTTCTGATTACGCTTTCAAAGAAAATACTTACAATTTTACAGCTAATGTTAAATGTTTTAATTTTCTCAGGAAAAACATCCTTTGACTTGCTCTTTTAATTATCCACATACTTATCTACGTGTAAATAGTACAAGCATATGGAACGCCATTACGAAAATAAGTCACAGAAGGCAGCAACTGCGTTCAATATAATCACGACAATTATTAACTTATGTTTATTAGGTTAACATAGATAGTGGATTGTAACTGGTGACGTATTTGGGTATCTATATGATGTGCTATGTTCATAGGTATTGATGAGATACAAGATTATTCTTATCAATATCTTATCGTTACCTGTTGTAGCCGCATCGATATCAAGCTTAGGGCAACGATCATTTCTTCCATAGCAGTGTGAATTTAAGGGGCTTGTTAGAAGTGCAACATTTCAGTATATTGTTATTCGTTTTAGCTCTGTAATTATCAAATCGCTATATTTTAGCTGTTTTGAAAATCAACAACACCGTGTCAACTAAATATAAAAGTGTGTTTCCACTCAGGTAAGCGCATCAAAACAATATTCACCTATATCTAATGCTTTAATTATAGACCAGACCCCGATGGGGATCGTGGTTCATATTAAAATTATCTTTAATATTTGTATTGTTTTAATGCATTTTTTTTTAAAGTTTTCATGCTGGGAGGGAGGGGGGGGGGGGGGGCAGCTAGAATGCCATTCCGCATCCCTAAGGCAGTGAATTCCTATGGCATCAAACGCCATGACAAAGTCGTCGGCATCAAAACATATTGTAGGTAACAATGTGCGGCTGTTTGCCACCCCCACAAGATTTCACATCCCCGAGCAATGGTGGCGCCCCAACGAGGTCGTCGGACCTAAAATAAAATAATAGCCTAATTTGCCTACAACGTTATTTTGCGGATTGCCAATTCCTGATAGGGTGTCTACAAAACGAAGACCGAAGGCCCGAAAAACGAAAACCTCCAATTATTTCTCAACTATCTTATTGAAAGCATTTCAAAATCATCATAAAACAGTTGCCAAGTTCCTATTTCATTATTTCATCACGATTGAGGGAAAAAAAGGTCTTTGTTTTTCGGGTCTTCGGTTTTGTAGACACCCATATAGCGTGTCTATAAAACGAAGACCCTTAATTATCTCATCCATCCTATGTTGGTGTCACTACCAAATGACCGATGCTGCACATATGCGTCACTATACAGCATTCCTGAAGTGTATTTTAACATAGAACAAGTTTATGAATGAAATATTCAAGGTTTTTGTAGGCCCCCAAAATACGCGTACCGCTAGGCAAGTCTTACTTTCGTTTAGAGGGTAGCAGCGCCAAGACGCGCTCTGCCACCAGCCGTGGACGTACAACATTGGTTGCCGCTTTGAAGCTGGAATAAAGAGTAGATCATTAAATTGGCTCAGATTCAGGCAAAAATGTGCTAAAAAAGACGAATATTATAAATACATAGCATGAAGTGATTTAAAAACATTATTTTCATCACGATTGAGAGAAAAAAAATGTGGGTCTTCGTTTTCTGGTCTTTTGTCTTCGTTTTGTAGACACCCATATAGGGTGTCTATAAAACGAAGATCCTTAAGTATTTCTTGATATTCCTCATTTTATCCCGATGAAATAATGAAATAGGTATTTGGAAACTGCTTTATGATAATTTTGAAATACTTTCAATAAGACACTTGAGAAGTAATTGGAGGTCTTCGTGTTTCGGGTCTTCGGTCTTCGTTTTGTAGACACCCATATAGGGTGTCTATAAAATGAAGACCCTTAAAAATTTCACAAACAGACGCCCAAAAAATGTCTTACTTTTGATTTTGTGACAGCCTGGCGTATTATTATCAAAATAAAAGAGAAAAAATAGGGGTCTTAGTTTTGGGGTCTTCGGTCTTCGTTTTATAGACACCCATTCCTGATAGGTCTAATTTAGGTCATACTATGCAAAGCCAAATAAAAATGTTAACACTTCCAGAGGCTCTAGTCAGCCCCTTGGTTAAGATCCTTCCCCCTCCCCTTGAACATATACAGTAAGTGACCCCTCGTCGAAAAAAATTGGGAGTCACCACAGCTGTCCCTGAGAACCCGGCTGTTCTAGTCCCGATTCACAATTCGCATCAAAACAAACACACTCGTCGGATCAAAGCCACACTGTGACATAACAGCCTCAGGGGCGGATCCAGCCTACCAGAATAGGGGGGGGGGGCGCTGCCTGCAAGCGAAGCGTGCAACCTTAAGGCTGGGGCCAGGTGGCCGCCAAGGTCCCCCGGCGAGGTCCACCCCTTCCACCCCCACCAGGGGCTCTGCCCCTGGTGGGGGTGGAAGGGGGCGAAGCCCCCTTGAAGCCCAGCACATTTGAGGAATATGAGTTTGCATTAAGTAAATTTTGACTATCTAGCATGGTAGTTTTCAGTAACAAATAATAAAAAAAAAAGTGCATGTCTTTTAAAAGAAATTTTAATATTCAGGGTAGCCGCAATATGCAACTATAAAATGTGTCATTAAAATAATAATTCATCTACTCACAGCTGTGAAAATTCATAGTTTTCCCCTCTGGAAAACGGTCAGCTAAATTTTTCTCATGTCTTATTTTATGTGTGTTTACATACATAAACAAATTGAGTAATTGCATACGTTTTTTTTTTCATGAATCAATAAATTCCAAAAAAGAAAGGGGGTCGGGGGTTCTCCCCCGGGAAAATTTTGATTCTTAGAAGGCGGGAAATAAGCTTTCCCGACTACTGAGGTGTCTTTTAATTACTTTTTATTTCTTCAAAATTCAATTTTTACCCCTCTTGAAAATGATTTAATGAATCAATGAATTCCGAAGAAAAAGGGTGTCCGGGTTACCCCGGAAATATTTCGATTTTCGATTTTTCCCTCTTTAAAACGGTCAGGTAAATTTTTCTCATGTCTTATTTTATGTTTGTATACATACATAAATAAATGAGTAGTTGCACGCCTATTCTTTTTTCCATGAATCGATAAATCCCAAAAAGAAAGGGTTGTCCGGGGATTATCCCCTGGGAAAATTTTGATTCCTAGATGGCAGGAAATAAGCTTTCTCGACACTGGAAGTGTGTTTTAATGACGTTCTTCAAAATTCTAATTTTCTTATTGTAACATAAAAAAAAAAAATCAGCTCACGGGTCCTAAAAAATTAGGTCTAGAATTTCTTCTTTTTTTTTTTTTTTGTTGGCAAAGGGAGGGGTCAGGACCCATTACCCTCCAATGTGAATCGCGAGAAAATTTAACTCGGTTGGGGACTGGATAAACATTCCCTTTCCCATCCTTCACCTCCTTCTCTCTTTCATTTCTTTCATTTCTTTCCAATCATACAAAAATCTCCAGACATAATATATTTTTTTGCCAAACCGCCCCCCCCCCCCGGTTCCGCCGGCCCGTTGAACACTGTGGGTGAAAGTTTTTTGCAAAAAAATAGGGGGAGGGGCGTACGCCCCTTACATCTAATCCCCATTCTAATATTTAACAAAAGGCCCAGAAATCAATTAAGCCAATCAGCTGTTGAATGTATAGGTCTCAAGTCACTCACCCCAATGGCAATAAATCGTGCTTTATTTAGGCTAGCTAGGCTAGGGTAGGCCTAGCCTAGCCTAGATGAGACCCTAGCGCCCTGCCTAGGCTAGCCTACCTACAGCATTGAAGATCACCAGTGTTTAATTATTGAATATAAAAGTTCCATTGAATTAAAATTTTCTACCAGATTGAACGATCAAACTATCATCTGTTGAGAGATAAGTTATATGCCATCCTGTAATGTTGGTGAATGTCTAGGGAATCATCCTAATAATTCAACACTCACTGCATGTGGGGAGCTGAAAACTAGCTACAGTGTAATTTTGGGTTGTGATACCTTCTGTGCAGGGATCGTCTCAAAAATTCCGTTTTTGTTTTTTTTTACACTTAAAGAAAATGTTTTTTCTTGCTAATTTTTCACTAGACAACCGGGCAACATGAGTATAAATAGGCTAGCCCGGAGCGGGGTTTTTTTGTTTTTTTTTGGTGATATAAGGGGGAGGGGGGGCGTCGCAGGCAGGTTAAATCCGCCCCTGACAGCACTTACCGTATATTACAACTAAGTTTAACAGGCAACAAATAAAAATGGATCTTGTAATTGATACCTACACAGTGTAAAATTCTCATTTTATTTTTTGGCAGTGTTCTTGAGAATTATTTACAAAACAAATTTCCATCTACTAAACTATCGGTGTCGCGTAGGCCTATCCCCGACCGGCACGCGATTTTTTTTCCCGTACGAAACATTTGCATGAAACTCCACTCGGGTTGTCTCGACTGACTCTGCTCGAAAATCTCAATTCTGGAGGTCAAATAGTCATCAACCAAAGATAAACGTCGTCCACAAAACTTCTGAGATACAGGACTGCTGCTCGCTGTCTGATTTTGAAAAAAAAAACACACTGCTGTTACCATGCTAATATAACGGGTCGTTTAAAGCGACATATGTAATATATGTAGAGAGCAGCTTAGCTCAGTCGGCTAATCTGGTGGTAGCCACTGTGTGTGCGCTGAACCGTGGAGATCTCTAGGTCCCCGGTTCAATTCCCATCGCTGCCTCTACTTGTGTTTCAGCTAGAGGGCTGAAATACAAGTTACATAGCGCACCGTCTTTCGGATGAGACGTTTAAGCCGTTGGTCCCGTGTGCATTTATGGCCCATGTGCACGTTAAAGAACACAGTACACTCTTCGGAAAAGAGTAGGGGATTGTCTCCCGGTGTACTGTCCAATCACCACCAGAAGGACCCCACTGGAAATAAGTCGTCTTCTAGACTTTAGTGGGCTATCCTTGGTGTTTACACCGAATAAATCCATGTCCATAAATCCATTTGATTTCGCTGCACGAATAATAAAAAGTGTTAGGCCCTAATTGAATTTGACTTACATACTATGAACATTTTTATTTTTTAGTTGGCCTTTTGGAAAATTATTTAAGTACCTATGTCATGACAAATTCGAGTCAACTCGGCCCCAAGTTAACTCGGCCCCATGTCAACTCGGCCCCAAATCAACTCGGCCCCAAGTAGTCAACTCGGCCCCAATTTAATGTGTACGGTATTTACTGAATATTTACCAAGAGATTTAAATGCAAAGCCAAAATTAAAGTTTTTTTAAATCGTTGCCTTTGTTATTTCTTTTCATTTACATGCACTTACAATAATTAAAACTGCATTAATAAAAATAATATTAAAATGATAGTAATAACAATTATACAAAGGTATATAGAATCAGTGGCGGCGCCAGCGGGGTGGCAGGGGGGCTTAAGCCCCCACCGGACAGGTCAAGCCCCCGCCGGACAGAGCTCGTCAGGCAGTCAGACCATAAAACATATAAAAATA